GGAGTTCGGGCGAGGAGGGTAAGGTTCCCAAAAGGCTGCGGTGGCCCTGGCTGGTTTGGCTTTGCAGACAGAGTGCTGGCCTGCGGGCTGAGGGATCCCTGGTTCTATTCATTCCAGTCAAGGGCATGTGCCTGGGTTGCGGGGCTCCATCCCCAGGAGAAGGCAGGCAGGAGGCAGCTGATCAATGATTCTCTCTCATCACTGATGTTCCTATCTCTCCCTCTCCCTTCCTCTCTGAAATCAATTTTAAAAAATTTTTTTTAATAATGGCTGGTGGCTCAGCTGCTTGGAGTGTCACCCATACACCAAAAGTTTGCAGATTCAATTCCCCACCAGGGCACATGCCTAGGTTGCAGGTTCAGTGTTTTGTTTTTTTCCTCTCTCTCTTCCTTTCTCTCTCTCTCTCTCTCTCTCTCTCTCTCTCTCTCAAATCAACAAAAGAAAAATATCCTCGGGTGAAGATTCAGAAGAAAAGGCTGATATGTCCCCACTGGTTGCCCTGGAGATAGGCCCACCCCCGTGTGTCAGTGATAGAATAAAGAGAAATGTGCACAAGCAAAGCAGGCAGTCATTAGCGGGTGCGGGAGCAGCAGCGTGGCTCCCAGTCGGGGCCACCTGGAGGGGCTGAGGGAGGAGCTGGGGAGGGTGGTGCCACTGGTAAAGGATGGGGGGTAGGGGTGAGGGTGGGGGATGGTGCAGAGGGGAGAATCTGAGGTTGCGAACGCTCTGGGTGCAGGTACCCTGCTGCTCCGACTCCACCTGCCGGCACGGCTGCCCAGAAAGGTCTGGGCTGGAGGGTGCTTGTTCATTCGCTCTCCGAGCGGCCTGAGGTGCAGGCTCTCCCTGGCCTTTGCCAGAGCCCAGGGAAGGCACGGAGGGTGGGGAGGGAGTAAGCAGCCATCCATCCTGTCGCCTGCTCCCAGCCCTGGGGAATGAAGCCTGAACTCTGTGGGAGGAACCTAGGTCCTACGTGACCCGGTGCCAGCCTCCGCGGGGCTTGTCTCCGGCTGCCACAGACCACCCGCCTTGCAGGCCTGACATCCCGACGCCGGCCAGGCCCCGCCCCCAGGTTCCATCCTCACCCCTCTCCTGCCCCCAGGACCCCCGGGGCTCACCCTGTCAAAACCTTCACCTGGCCGAAGCCGGTTTGGCTCAGCCGTAGAGCGTCTGAAAGGTCCCAGGTTCGATTCCGGACAGGGGCATGTACATTGGTTGCGGGCACATCCCCGGTAGGGGGTGTGCAAGAGGCAGCTGGTCAGTGTTTCTCTCTCATCGACGTTTCTAGCTCTCTAGCTCTCTCCCTTCCTCTCTGTAAAAAATCAATAAAAATAAAAAAATAGATTTAAAAAACCTTCACCTGGAAAGCTTCCCTAAACCAGCCGGTTCAGAGGGTGCTCTGGAAACCCCTCGGGGTCCCCGAGGCCTTTCGGAGGGCCCGTGAGGTCAGAGCTGTTGTTACGATGGCACTAATGTTTGCCTTTTACGCTCTCATGCTCTAATGAGTGCAGAAGTAGCAAGAGTCTAATGGTGTTTTAGATTCCACATTTCAGCCTACCATTGGCCGTATTTTTAGTTTCTATCGAACAAGAATACCCACAATTACCGTATTTTTCGGACCATAAGACGCACTTTTTTCCCCCCAGAAGTGGGGGGAAAAAGTCCCTGCGTCTTATGGTCCAAATATAGCCTACACATATACTTTAAAAAAAAAGTTTTTTTACTTGCCCGGCTCTGTGTGGTCTGTGTGTGCTTGCCCGGCTCTAAAATGGTTCTAAATGCTGCTGTTTACTTTACAGGGTTGATTACATGTGTTTATGACTGTGATGTTGGGTTTTAATGCACATAAAATATTTTAGGACACTATTTGTTTCAGAATCTTTTTTTCTTCATTTCCCTTCTCTAAAAACTGGTGCGTCTTATGGTCCGGTGCGTCTTATGGTCCGAAAGATACGGTATATGAAAAACATATTAAAATGCTCCTCCTCCTCCTCCTCCTGACTACATAGCTGCGTGGGGTCATATTTTCTTCGTGTAGTCCAACCAAAACAACATTTCATAACAGACTGAATGGATGGGAAATGAGGGCCCAGCTGTCTCCCATTAAGCCAGGCATAAAACAGATGTGTGAAAGTGCAGAACAGCACTATTCTTTTCACTGGTTTTTTTTAAATTTAGAAAATGCTGTCTCTTAGACAAATATCTCATTTCTGTGATGGGTTCTGTTAGGAGTTTATTCTTGGTGTGTTTTTTTTACATTAATTACTAGTTTTTGAAGTTCTCGGTGACTCTTCCTGATCCAGTAAGTCGCGACAGATCGAACTCTAAACCACATAAACAAAAGCTCTTTTGGATCCTCGATCACATTTTAGTGTAAAAGAGTCCTAAGACCAGAAATCTGAGAGCCACTGCCTCTTACTGAGTCCTCAGCGGGCAGCGTGGACTGTCACTTAGCTCACTGCTACTGTTGTGCACAGAGTCCACCAAATCCACGATTTTTTTTTATATGCCTGCCTTCCCCATGCACGCGTCCTGAAGGTGGTTGTTCTTCAAACCCCAGAAAGTCCAGACAACAGAATGAAGTGAGAGATAAACCCCCGTGGACCTGCCTCACAGGCCGCCCTGGAGCAGCCTATAATCATTCATTAGAGGAGCATATCACTGCCTTATATTTTCTTAATTAACTCAGGTTGTTACTAGGAACTCCAACCTAAATCGAGATATAAAATAGAAACTTCTACACTAATAAAAGCGAAATATGCAAAATTGACCATACCTCCGCAACATCCACCAGCCAATCAGGAGTGGGTATGCAAATTAACCCAAGAAAGATGGTGGGTTAATTTGCATATGCAGGCTCAGAGCGAAGACTGAAGGCTCCGGCCTGAGCAAAGACTGGAGACTGAAGAGGCTTGGCTTCTTTGCTGCAGCCGGAGCGAAGGCCTGGGTCCCGGGTGCCGGAGGAAAACAGGTGCCGGCAGCCAGGGAAAGGAACACCTATTGCATGAATCTTCATGCCAAGGGCCTCTAGTAAAAAATAAAATCCAAAAATTCAAACAAAAATTAATCTAAGATGCAACTCTGTTTCTACTCTGTTAAACTTTCAGAGACACCCTCGCAATGAAGCAACCAGTGAAATGCATTATGCCGCTGGACATCATACATAAAAAGTCACACACAAAGCACCACGTGGCCCAAGCAATGTTCTGAACAGGAAACGAAGGCCAAGAAAAACATACCCATCAAACACAAGATACCGTCTTCTAAGAATGAAGAGAAGGTTGTTCAAACTCCAGACTACAACAAGCATGGCGTCTCCATCTCCGTGCCCTGTGCCCTGTCAAAGCGAGACCGAAAAGCAGAGTGCTCTGGAGAATGCAAGCCCAGGTCGGGGACTGTGTGTGCATCCACTGCTGGTGACCTAGGAGTCAGACATTCCCAGTTCTCTACGTATTTTATACATGTATCACCTTGAAATTTGTTTTTAAAAACCCTTTACTCAACATACTGAGCTTCCCCAGTCCTTCCCGCAGCTGCCGAAGCCATGGAAATGGGAATTCGCAGGAGACTAAGGAGACAGAGACCCAGCACCATGGGGTCGTGGTTTAGGTCACGGTTTAGGTCGGCAAACTGCGGCTCGTGAGCCACATACAACTCTTTGGCCCCTTGAGTTTTTAGCAAAGGCCAGCTTAGGAGGACCCTAATTAAGTTAAGCACAATGTACCTACCTATATAGTTTAAGTTTAAAAAATGTGGCTCTCAAAAGAAATTTCAATCGCGGCACTGTTGATATTGGGCTCTGTGGACTAACGAATTTGCCGACCACTGAGCATCAGGAAAGAGTCTGACCTCTTGCAACAGGGCCCTCCAGGCCCCTTCGGTATCTGATTGTCCTTTTGGACACAGAAGCTACCGGGCAACCAGCGGTTCTCTCAGCGGCTGGTCAAGAGCGGTAAATGTAAAGCAGTTTCAGAAAACGACTTCCCATGATTCACTGGGCAAACCCATGATTCATTGCGTCCCTGCCATTCACATAGGGAGGGGCGATCAAAGCAGGTGTACCGCGGTAAGGACGTGACATACTGAGTTTATTCTTGTTTCGTTATTTATTCATTGTTGTATTCTATTACAGCGGTAAGCCTGATTTGCCCACCCCTGTATTCTCCTCGCAAAACTCTCCCAAGGACAGCACTAGCACGCCCATGCTCGGGATGAGGAAAATGAACTTGAACGAGATCACACTCCCTACGTGTACATCATCTGCCAGGACGTGAACCCAGGTCTACGCTAAAACCCACTCTTCCACCGGCCAACCTTCCCCTTCCCCCCACACCCTAGCCTGGGCTGACCAGAGCCCATATTTGCAACCGGGTCCGACTCCTCTGTATTCTGTGTGTTTTCGTGACCTTTCCTTTCTCTCAGAGAAAGAGGAAAAAAAAAATGCACCTGGAGAAAACATGTTCCCCGGGTCGGAATCAAGGCCCCTGACCTTTTCCTGTTCCATAAGCCTCAGGACGTGCCCACCTCTCTCTGTGCCCGCTCCCGTCTCCCGCACGCCCCCTGCTCGGTCCCCATGCTGCCAAGCAGCGGGGCCTTAGGAACACAGATTAGCTGCACAAATACCACGAAAAATCCTCCTAACACCCTGATCCAAAGAAGTCCAGCAAGGAGCTTTACAGAGGGAAAATCTTGCCCTTGCACCTTAAGAGAAAAATCACGAGCTTCTGTCTTGTGATTTTCGAAGACATGGGACTAGAAAAGACGAGTCATATCGTTTTGAAAACCCGTGTGCAAGTCAAGATGCACTCACGGCCAGCGAGACCCGCTCTCCCCCTGCACAACCAGCCGGGGCCCGGGGGCGGGGGAGCTCCCTCGGCTGCACGGACAGGCTCATCGTTATAAAGGGCTTGTGGTTTTGATGGCGAAGACAGAGGGGAGGCTGGTACTGGGTACCTTACCCGCCCATTCTGGCCTGCTTCTGCAGGCGCTGCCCCGTCACTCACCCAGCAGGGCCGTCTGGGGGTGGGTCCGCGAGTGTCTGCCTCTGGAGACGGACCTGGCGCGTGGCCACTGCCTGGCCTCAGCAGGGAGGAGGAGGGTGTGCCCGAGGAGCAGCAGAAAGCAGCCCACCAGCATCTTCTCCATCTTCAGGAATCGGAAGAGGGGCGTGGCTGTGACAGACACAACAGGAGAAGGGGGCAGGGTGAGAGGGGGCAGCAGACTGCCTCCCCGCGTCCCACACAGGCCACGCGGACTGAAAACACCATCGGTGCACCGGACCCGTAAGAACGCAGGCAACCAGCCCCCGCTGGTCGGCACTCTGCGCAGGGAACGCATAGCTGGGATTTCTCCTCCCTTTGGTCACTATCAGACGGAACGGAAAAATGTAAGTGGGGGAACAAAATCTATCCTGACGTTTCTTCACCATTGAGTTTATTACCCATGATTCATAGTCACATTCCAGATCTTGGATTTGAAAAAAGGAAAGAGGAAAAAAAACACACATCTGAAGATTCCAGGTAACAATAGTCTTTCAAGTCTAATAATAGTGAATGGCACAAATTAACGTATATGCATTTTCCCAGGAATTCACGTATAGGTAGCATAAGGGGCATCACAGGGCCAGCCTCTCCACCTCCCACACACGTCTACTAAGAGGGAGCATGGTGCAGTGGTGAAGGGCTCAGACCCTGGCACCAGACTACCTGACTTTGAACCTTGGCTCTGTCCTGGGTGACCTTGGGTGAGCTCCTCAACCTTCCCAAGCCTCAGGGGAATATGGGATAATATTAGTTAACTGAATGAGTTCATGCATGTAACTACAGCATACGGCATAGTGCCTGGCACACATAGGGGGCAGGGGGAGGTGTAGAAACAACCAAACAAGCAAAGAAGCTAAGGGACAAGAGAATAGGGCCAAACCAGAGGATGAGTAGAAAGGTTTCGTGTGCATCAAGAATTCTAACCGGAGGAGATAAGGAAGATGGCAGGTAGGTAAATGCCTGTACTCGCTGCCTCCCACAACCACATCAAAATTACAACTAAAATACAGAACCACCATCACCCAGAACCGCTGGAAAGCTGGCTGAATGAAGTCCTACAAGTAGAGAAGTAAAGAAGAAAGCACACTGAGACTGCTAGGAGGTGCTGAGGCATGAGCCACTTCTTTAATTGGGAAGGTGATTATCTCTGCAGAGGCCACCCACAGAAGCAAAGATCCTGGCCCCACACCAGTTACCTGTGCAGGAATGTCCGTACAACTACCAGCTGATTTCTCAACAAAAACTATACAGGCCAGACGGGAGTGAAAAGAAATATTCAAAGAGATGAATAACAAGGACCTACAACCAAGGTTACTCTACCCAGCAAAACTATCATTCAGAATTGAAGGTCAGCTAAAGAGCTTCACAGACAAGAAAAAGCTAAAGGAGTTGAAGGGGATTCTTTAAGAAGAGGAAGAAGAAGAAAAAGAAGAAGTTCAAAAAAATAAACAACAAAATGGCAACAAATGCATGCCTATCATCAATAAATAAATGAAAAGTGATGAATTTTACTGTGTAAGTTATATTCCAAAAAAGGTATTTAAAAGGAACTAAAGGGATAGGGACAAAGATACTGTATCTATGCCATCATAGAACCAATATGGCAATATTAATATCAGACAAGATAATTTCTTTTTAAGAGTCTCATGCTCTACCGACTGAGCTACCCAGGCACCTAAGATAGATTTCTTTTTATCTATCTATCTATCTATCTATCTATCTATTTATTTATTTATTTATTTTTATTTTATTGATTTTGTACAGAGAGGAAGAGAGAGAGATAGAGAGTTAGAAACATCGGTGAGAGAGAGTCATTGATCAGCTGCCTCTTGCACACCTCCCACTGGGGATGTGCCCGCAACCAAGGTACATGCCCTTGACCGGAATCGAACCCGGGACCCTTCAGTCCCCAAGCCGACGCTCTATCCACTGAGCCAAACCGGTCTCGGCTAGATTTCTTTTTAAATGCAATGCCAGTCCTGGCCAGTTTGGCTCAGTTGGTTATGTGTCCAGCCATGCACAGAAAGCGGTTTGATTCCTTGTCAATGCACATTTCTGGGTTACAGGCTCAATCCCTGTTAGGAGGTACGCAGGAGTCAGCAAATAAATATTTCGTTTTCACATCAATGTTTCTCTCTCTCTAAAAAAATATATATAAATAATAAATAAATAAAGCAATGCACTTGGTTGGTATAGCTCAGTTGAGCATCAACCTATGAACCAGGAGGTCACAGTCCGATTCTGGATCGGGGCACATACCGTTTGTGACCTTGATCCCCAGTAGGGGACAAGCAGGAAGCAGACGATCAATGATTCGATCTCATCATTGATGTTTTTATCTCTCCCTCCCTTCCTCCTTCTGAAATCAATTAAAAAGGAACAACTTAAAAAAAAAATACACACACACACACACACCATATTGCCCTAGCCGGCTTGGCTCAGTGGGTAGCGCATTGGCCTGTGGACTGAAGGGTCATGGGTTCGATTCTGGTCAAGGGCACATGCCTCGGTTGCAGGCTCGATCCGCAGTAGGGGGCGTGCAGGAGGCAGCCGATCAATGATTCTCATCACTGATGTTTCTATATCTCTCTCCCTCTCCCTTCCTTTCTGAAAATAATAAAGGTATGTTTTTAAAAAACCGCCATATTTTTTAATATGCAATTGCTGTGAGACAAGAAAAAATAAGTCAGTGCATGTCGGCGCATGCCGCCAATAGTAATAGCTGTTTCTGTTTGGCATTTAAAGCTGGTAGCATTTGTAGAACAGGAGCCAATTCTAACTGGAAAACAGAATGATATTCAAAAAACAGTTCTCTGTGAGCACAGGAGGATTGTTGGGCCGAGAAACAGAGGTTAATTCGATCTGAAGAGATTCCATACAAAGCGTTTGGGAGCACGGAGAGAATATTTTTGTAAAACACAACAGCTCTGACTTTTCTATTAGCAATTCTCCTCTTCTCCCTGTGACCATGAGTCTTATTGTTGGTACGGGAAGGGAGAGGAGACTGTTCTGCCCCTCTTAGCTGTGGGTGCTTCTAAGCATCCCTGTTCCAAGTAAACTGACAGGCAAGCAGGTTCCCCCACAACCAGCCCTCTGTGCTGGGGGCCTTGAGAGGACAGAGCATCGGCCTGCAGACTGAAGGGTCCCAGGTTCGATTCCGGTCAAGGACATGAACTTTGGTTGCGGGCACATCCCCAATGGGGGGTGTGCAGGAGGCAACTGATCTATGTTTCTCTCTCATCGATGTTTCTAACTCTCTATCCCTCTCCCTTCTTCTCTGTAAAAAAAAAAAAAAAAAAAAATCAATAACATACATATATTTTTAAAAATCAGATGAGGTACGACCCTGCTATCCTGAAGAAGGAGGGCAGGATGTCCTCCGAGGTGGTAGATGCTGCCTCCGGACAGGAAGAGAAGGGACAGAGGATACTAATATTTTTAAGTGCCTGCTCCGGGCCAGACAATGATCTGGGCATTTTATATGTTTTCATCTCGATTGTTCCCTACAATCATCTATTGAGGTTGACAAGTTCGCAAATTAACGGATGGAACACTAAGATTCACGGGCAGAAAGCCCGTCTCCGAGCCTCAGAGCTAGTCAAGTGACCAAGTCATCTTCCGCTCCAGTCCTTTCCCTGTGGAGACAACCTGGGCGGCTCAGCCACCAGGCTGGGAACTCAGAGCCTGCTGCCCTGTCTCCCTCACATCGCCATCACATCATGTGTGGACGACCCCTGGCTGTCACGCCTCTGCCTGGTGCCAGTCCGGCCCTCCGGACTGTTCCCACCTCAGCAGCAACGCCCCATTTCTCCACTCCCCTCTCCCCGACTCTTCCAGGAGCCTCAGAACTGCTCTTCTGACTTGGGTCCTTCACGGGTCTTCTCTGTTCGGAATCCACTGAGGGCCTTACTGCAGAACGCTCATGTGTAAGGACCTCCAGGACTGGCCACCAGCCACCCCTCCAGCCATGGCAGTCCCACCTCCACCTCTGACCAGCATACCCCTGCCCTCCCCCTTCCCCCCTCTCTGACACACACACACACACACACACACACACACACACACACCAGTGCCTGAAGAACTCAGACTCTCGTTATAGCTGAGTGTCTTTACCCTTGCTGGTCTTTTGGCCTGGAAGGTCTACATTCTACATTCATCAAAATTGTCTTCATTCCTCAAGGCTCAGCTCCTGTTTACCCACTCTCTAAAATGTTTTCCAGCCGAAACCGGTTTGGCTCAGTGGATAGAGCGTCGGTCTGCGGACTGAAAGGTTCCAGGTTCGATTCCGGTCAAGGGCATGTACCTTGGTTGCGGGCACATCCCCGGTAGGGGGTGTACAGGAGGCAGCTGATCAATGATTCTCTCTCATCGTTGTTTCTAGCTCTCTATCCCTCTCCCTTCCTCTCTGTAAAAAATCAACAAAATATATTTTAAAAATATGTATATATAGTTTGTTGATTTTTTACAGAGAGGAAGGGAGAGGGATAGATTGTTAGAAACAACGATGAGAGAGAATCATTGATCAGCTGCCTCCTGCACACCCCCTACCGGGGATGTGCCCGCAACCAAGGTACATGCCCTTGACCGGAATCGAACCTGGGACCTTTCAGTCCACAGACCAACACTCTACCACTGAGCCACACCGGCTTTGGCAACAAAATATATTTAAAAATAAAATGTTTTCCAATTTTCTCAAAGAGGACTGACTTCCCGCACACCCCTGACAATGGGTTCCTTATCTGCTCTAATGCGTGGTTTCTTTTTCTCGCTGCCATAGCTGTCTCCCTGCCTAGACTGCGAGTCGTTCCTTGGGACTGCACCTGGTCATGTCCGTATTCCTCACGTGCTGGGTGCTGAATGTTATAAATAAAACTTTTTAAAATAGATAAAAGTTGAATTAACGCATTTATTGATAAAAAAAAAAAAAGGTCAATAAATGTTTCATCAAACTGGCTCTAATTCAGCACGGGACAACTGCCAAGGCCAAGGCCAAGTGTTCCTCTCCTGTGTTTGCCTGAATGTTGGCGACACTAGGACAGGAGCATCCTTGCTTTTTCCTCCCTTCAGGCTGGAATGCGGACATCCCGGCTGGAGGCCCAGCAGCCACTCTGCCCCATGAGGCACCATGGAAGTGGAAGGCGAGACCCCACCCTCCCTTTGGACACGCTGCCTTCAGACTTCGAGAACACAAAACAGAAATAGCAAGCTTCCTTCTCGAAGCCACTGTCCCATTTTTTCTGTAACTTGATACTGAACACAATCCTAACGAATAGGCTGTTTCTCGGTCTCTCGTCTGGAATCCATCTGGCACCAGCGCTGAATTCGGTCTTCCCAACCCAGTGTCATGCTTCTCACGCTCCTACTCAAAAACTGTCAGTGACTTCCACATGCCGTTAAGATAAAAATCGAGATTCCTCAGCTTGTCAGTCAAAGCCCCACAATCTGGCCCTGTGTTACAATGCTAACCTCAAAACTCTCACTCCTGCGAGTGAGGGCAGGCCCTGGTGGCTCCAGTTTGCCTGGCCCAGGACTCGGGAAGCAAAGAACCTTGCAGCCTGGCAGGCACATTGGGGGCCGGGGACACAATTCTCCTGGCACAAATCATAAACCCATCCTGGTATCCGGACAGGGTTTTAGGATGCTGTCACTCTGAAAGCAAGGGGGGGGGGGGGGGGGAGGCGCGCTGCTGTGCAAGCGTGGACTCTCCTCCTGGCAAACTCCGGTTAAACACATGCGGTCTATCTGTCGCCTGCATGGATGGATGGGGGAGGCAGTCCCTCTGAGCTTGGAGGGAGGCGACTGCTCTGAGGAGCTTCTGGCTTTTTCTAGAAAGACAGGCGCTGAAGCTCACTCACCCCCTGACCTTAGGGTGTACCTGGGACTGTTCTGAGCACTTGGATCATCCTCACAGCCCTGAGGGTACGATCCCATTGAGCAGATGAGGAAACTGAGGACGGAGGGAGGAGCTGGGTAACTTCAAAGTCACTCACCCAGCCCTAACCGGTTTGGCTCAGTGGATAGAGCATCGGCCTGCGGACTGAAGGGTCCCGGTCAAGGGCATGTATCTTGGTTGTGGGCACATCCCCAGTAGGACGTGTGCAAGAGGTGTGCAAGAGGCAGCTGATGGATGTTTCTCCCCATCAATGTTCCTAACTCCCTAGTCCTCTCCCTTCCTCTCTGTAGAAAAGTCAATAAAACGTATTTTTTTTTAAAAAAAGGTCACTAACCCAGGACACCTGGGCAGGCCCACCCCACAGCCCCGTGCGGGATTGGCGCTTGCAAGCCCCCTTCCCGTGCTCCCCGGGCTGGAGCCTTCGCCAGACAGTCTCCATGTCTCTGCCCCCTTCCCAACTGGTCTCCGGTTCCCAGCAAACTGCCACGCAATGCCCCCCGCCCCGTCCGCTCTCCACAGCGGAGGGGAGGCTGGGGTCCAGCCGCCGCGGGCATTCACGCACGGGGATCGGCTCCACAAGTCTCCCTCCCCGGCGCCCGCAGAGGGACACAGCGCCCCCACGGGGCCGTGCGAGGGAGCGCGCCCAGCTCGCCGGGAGGGTCTGCGGCGCGGCCCGGCCGGGGGCGCTCGGCCCGGAGGGGCTCAGCGCGGGGCCCCGGGCGGGGCCGGAGCCGGGAAGGGGCGCCCGGCGCTCGGGGCGCGCGGAGCCGCGGGGTCCGGGGGTGGAGGTGGAGGAGGGGTGCCCGGGAGCCCCAGCTCTGCCTCCCCGTCCGCCAGTCGGTCGGTCGGTGGGTCGATCTGTCTGCGCCTGGGGTCGGCGGGGCGGGACCCGGGGGCAGCGGGACCCGGGGGCAGCGGGACCCGGGGGCAGCGGGACCCGGGGGCAGCGGGACCCGGGGGCAGCGGGACCCGGGGGCAGCGGGACCCGGGGGCAGCGGGACCCGGGGGCAGCGGGACCCGGGGGCAGCGGGACCCGGGGGCAGCGGGACCCGGGAGTGCGGGCCCAGCGGGACCCGGGGGTGCGGGACCCAGCGAGACCCGGGGGCAGCGGGACCGGGGGTGCGGGACCCGGGAGTGAGGGACCTGGGGGTGCGGGACCCGGGGAGCGCGCCCCGCTCACCTGCAGCCGCCGGCGCCCGGGGGAGCGGCGGGGACGCGGCCGCCCGGGCCTCCCTCGTGGGCGCCCGCTGGCCGGGCCGGGAGCCGCGCGGGCCTCGGGGAGCGCTCGTGGGAGCCGCCGCCGCTGCCTGGTCCGCGGGCGCCGCCTCCCAGTCCCATCCCCGGGCGCCCCGCGCTCGCTCGCCGGCCGCCTGGCGGCGCCGGGCCAGCGCGGGCGGGAGCGGGGGCGGCGCCGCGCGGCGGAAGGGGGTGTCCTCTGGAGGGGGGGGGGGGGCGTGCGGAGGGCGCGGCGCGGACCGCCCCACCCCGCAGGCGGGCGGCCCGGAGCCGGCGCCCTGCCGTGCGCCCCGCCCGCTGCCACCTGGCCCGGCTCTGGGCCCCGCGGGGGCGGGAAGGGGACCGCAGGGGTCCCGGCCGCAGGCTCAGCGCGGCGGGGAGCTCAGGGGGCCTGGATGGGGAGGGGCGTGGGAGGCAGGAGAGCATCTCTGGGGAGACGGGAGGGCCCGCAGGGGTCCTGGATCCTGAACTTAGGGGGATCGTGGTTGACAAGAGGCATCCATGGACGGAGACAAGGAAAAACAGTGATGAGAGCGAAAAACCGGTTTGGCTCAGTGGATAGAGCTGCGGACTGAAGGGTCCCAGGTTCGATTCTGGTCAAGGGCATATCCCCAGTAGGGGGTGTGCAGGAGGCAGCCGATCGATGCTTCTCTCTCATCGATGTTCCTAACTCTCTATCCCTCTCTCTTCCTCTCTGTAAAAAGTCAATAAAAATAAATAAATATATAAATATATAAATATATAAATATATAAATATATATATATATATATATATATATATTTTTTTTTTTTTTTTTTTAAGTGATGAGAATTGGGATAATGAGTGGCAAGTGCCAGGAGCGGTCTTCTCAGTGCCTAGAGCAGCCCAGCAGCGCGCAAGTCCCATGAACAGAGCAAGTCCACTGGCCAGGGACCAGGCCCAGGAATGAGGGGGAGGGAGGGTGCCCGGATGGAGAGGAAACAACGTCGAACCCTAAAAGAGCAGGAAAAGACTAGTTCAGACAAGACGTTTGAAATTATGGCGAAGGTATTTGCAGGGGTTTTTTTTGTTTGTTTGTTTGTTGTTTTACAGAGAGGAAGAGAAAGGGATAGAGGGTTAGAAACATCCATCAGCTGCCTCCTGCACACCCCCTACCGGAGATGTGCCTGCATCCAAGGTACATGTCCTTGACTGGGATTGAAACCGGGACCCTCCAGTCCACAGGCCGACGCTCTATCCACTGAGCCAAACCGGTTTCGGCTGATATTTGCAGTTTTGTAAAGTGGGAGAACATGATTTTGGAGGTCCCCTCAGAACTTGGTGGAGGTGGGGTGGGGGAATGCAGACAGAGGATTGGTCAGTGGCAGGGAAAGAGCTTGGTGTGTCACTCACTCTACCAGCTCTCCCTGCTCCTGATGGGGTGACTGGGCTCCACACGACAGGCCTGGACATCTCCCAATACCACCTCCAAAATCCTGTCCCCCCCAAACCAATCACCCACAGCACCCAGTTCAGGTGTTCACAAGCTGTGGGGGAAGAGGCAGCAGAACTGAGTTCATGAGTTTCAGACCCTCTGCATGTGCCAGAGTCTGATCATTTACGTGTTCTTGGCTGCCGTTCCTCCTGACCATCACTCCTGTCTGGTGAGAGTGGGTTTCTGGAGTATGACAAGGCACCACGGTCAGAACCGGTTCTTCAGAAAAGCTGCCGAGGAGGGCGATTAAAAAACTTGCAGCCGCACAGCAAGAGGTTAGCACGCTCCAGCCCTCGGGTGCCACAATGCCAGGAAAGAATCTTGGACTCGCGCTCCCTTCCGCTGCACCTTCGGTCGGCTTGGCACGCTCGGCTGCCTGCGCTGATGAGAAACGGCTCCTTTGTATTTCTCGGGGAGGCGGTGGGCAGAGGGCAGAAAGCGGAGGAAAAAGTCTTCAGGAAATGTTTGGTCTCCGAGGCCTTGGATCCCACGGATGAACAGTCCTCCTGAACCCGGGCCAGGGACCATCGCCGAGGAGAGGAGGAAGGGCGGTACCGTTTATGGAAACTTAACGTTTACCCGCGCTGCCTTCTTCCAAGACAGCCAGTACGACCCCATCGTTTACCAGGAAAACAACAGCAACGCTGAGACCCTTCCAACCGCACGTGAAGGAATTGTAATGGAGAGACTGATTCTAGGGACTGGTGTGTGCCAGTTGAAACGGGGTATCTTCCCCCAGGGGGTGTGTATCCCAATTCTTCAGAATTGTGGGGAGCACACGCCTGGGGCCGAGTCAAGCAGGTCGGTGAGCTGTCGGACCTGCTTGTAAAAGGATTGCAGGTCATGCCGAAACCGGTTTGGCTCGGTGGATAGAGCGTCAGCCTGTGGACTGAAAGGTCCCGGGTTCGATTCTGGTCAAGGGCATGTACCTTGTTTGCGGGCACATCAGGGGATGTGCAGGGTCAATGTTCCTCTTTCATCGATGTTTCTAACTCTCTATCCCTCTCTCTTCCTCTCTGTGAAAAATCAATAAAATATATTAAAAAAAAAAAAAAAAAAAAAAAAAAGAACTTGGATATGCACAAAAGGATTGCAGGTCTGCCAGGAAGAGCGCGGAGCAGCAGGGAGCTCCAGTCAGAAAAAAGCCACGCCTTCGTTTCCTGGTTACCTTTGGAGCCAAGGCAAAGTCATCATAATAAAGGCTGCGGGGGAAACGCCCGTCGGTGCCTTTGCTGCCAGGGGGCCTGCTCCCGGCTTGGGGCACAGAGAATCTCACTCAGAAGCACGTGGGTAAGGTTTTTAGCGCTCCTGTGGGCACTCGAGCAAGCAGACAAGAATTAGGGTGTCAAGTATCCCTGCGTTCAAGAGTTACTAGGAGCCGAATCCGGTTTGGCTCAGTGGATAGAGCGTCGGCCTGCGGACTGAAGGGTCCCGGGTTCGATCATGGTCAAGGGCATGTGCATTGGTTGTGGGCACATCCCCAGTGTGTGTGTGTGTGTGTGTGTGTGTGTGTGTGTGCAGGAGGCAGCTGGTCAATGTTTCTCTCATCGATGTGTCTAACTCTCTATCCCTCTCTCTTCCTCTCTGTAAAAAAAATCAATAAAATATATATATAAAAGATTTACTTAAAAAAAAGAAAAGAAAAGAAAGAATGGCATAACGGGATGGTGTGGGGAGTTTAAGGCATAAGCAGGAGTGAGGGACTATTTGACTTGTTTTCTTGGATATTGACAAGGCTGAAACACCACCTGTCTCCCTGGAGACCAGCTCCCACTTTGGAAGTGAGGGAGAATCGGCTATGTATGGAAGTATCAGTTAGCAACACGGATCACTGCTTCTCTCATCCCGAAACCCAGCAGTGAATCACAGTGGTCTGTGGTTGGAAGCCGGGAGTCTCAAGCCTGTGACACTCAGCTATCTTCTCGCAATGCCACGCATGCGTATGTCTGCATTGGTGGCCTGCTATGAGTTCAGATTGCAAGATACTTGGGCAAGGAGTGTGTGTTTCTGCCCTGTGAAACCCTTCAGCATGCTGGCAGAGCTCAGTACGTGGCAGCTGAAGACTAATAAAAATATCAGAAGTCAGGACTTTGCACGGTCTCTCTTGCTGAGGGTTATTGCCTGGTTATTGCCTGGTTCCAACGGAAGGAGAAACACTACAGATGGTCCAGTGGAAAGAATAAGGGGATGAACGGCTGAGAGCCACAATAAATTAAGTGGAGAAAAATAAGGTGGAGTGCAATAGAGTGAACAATTTCATTGGTAGAGCCGTGTATCCCTCACTAAGTGGCCTCAGGCCGGCACTCGTGGCAGCTGATCTTTGTTCACACCTCCCCTGGGCACCTTCAAGCCCAGCACAAGTAGCAGCCATCCGTGGTGACTTCCGTACTAGTGTCCATGGAATTTCCCCGACACAGGGACACTCACATGACTTCGTTATTAGGATCTTGTGATGTTCTTGTGAAAGAGGAAAGGCAAAAACTATCACACATCGTTTTTTTCTGGGGTCATTTTACCACTGCAGAGCCCAGGAGGTGGTGGGCACATCACGCTGCTTCTGCGTATGTTAGCTGGTCAGCATTTCTCCCCGTATACCCAAGGCCTCAGGACTCCACGGCATCTCAGGTCTGGCCATTGATGGCTCTAACAATACGAAGATCTAGTAGGAAAGGGACAGGAGAGTTCTGAGAGGCACACTTAGCGATTTAATTCTTCCTTCAGAGCCCTACCGAATGAAGCGCACATGAAAGGAACTTGATCACAAGAATCCTAAGAGCTCAGCATGCCCCGGTTCCTTCTGACTTCAAATTGAAAGCAGAGCAGTAGCAGGCCTCTCATCGGAGCTACCCTTTCATCTCCTCAGAGAGCAATCCTTTATGACCAAGCTGCTGGTTTTTGCCCGTCAGCTTCACACCTCTCCTCCAGAAGGCAAGGGAACGTCTGCCCCCAGCTGTGACCCGCACACTCCTGCTGAGCGTTGGTGAGGCTTGTTGGAGCGACCCTCCCTCTGTGTCCTTGCCCTGTTTATAGAAGTGACTTTTCTTCCAGTGGGTGCTTCTGTGAGAAGGGGTTTCTGTGGCTGAGTTTCTAAAGAATTTGTCCCAGTTGCCATGGGTAGCCATTATAGGTGACTTAAATTTCTCTCACTTTTATTCTTATTCTTTTTTAAAAAATATATTTTATTGATTTTTTTACAGAGAGGAAAGGAGACGGATAGAGAGCTAGAAACATCAGTGAGAGAGAAACACTGACCAGCTGCCTCCTGCGCACCCCCTATTGGAAATGTGCCCGCAACCAAAGTACATGCCCTTGATCAGAATCAAACCCGGGACCTTTCAGTCTGCAGGCTGACGCTCTATCCACTGAGCCAAACAGGTCTCGGCTGCATCCTAAGATAATTTAAAACATGCAAAATGCTCGGCAGCACGGCTGCCACATGATAAGGGCTCAGTAAGTGGCCAATGTCATCCTACCCCAGAGGCAGAAGCCACAGGGGCTTGGAACTGAGCTGATGTGAGGAGAGACAGAGGGACAGGAATACAGAGGGCCGATGGCCTCAAGCCGAGACGCCTGGAATGAGGGGGAAGCCACCAACAGCCACACAAGCCTACAGAAGCAGACGCAGGAAGAACTGAGGCCAAGTTTCCACTTGGGGCACAATATGGAATGTCAATAGACTGGGATCAGAAAGACTGGGATCATTGACAAAGACAGGGCCAGAGCGGTCAGCATTGTTATTGGAATGGAATGATATGCAGAAAAGATCAATGTCATAGAAAGGCTTCAGGCTAAGAGACACCCCATGGAAGGAAAATGGTGACAAAGAGTCATTAACCCGGCACTCCTTCAGGGAAAGAGAATTCTGGGTGGAAAATGACATCACACAAATGCCATTGGGTCAGGGAGGCGTCCCCACCGAGCAGGACACAGGGTCCTTTGTGCTGCTGCCGGTCACAGAGGGCAGATCATTGTTCCTTCTTCTTCCCGGAGCCCAGACGGAGCCCAGACGGGGTCTCCTCAGGCAGGGGGCCACAGTGGAAGCCCTATTGGCTCTGGAGATGGGGTGCATGCTAGGATCTCAGGAATGCAGGACCTGCCACTCTTCCAGTGACTTTTCAAGTTTTTTTAAAAATATTTTTTATATATATTTTATTGATTTTTTTTTACACAGAGGAAAGAGAAGGATAGAGTCAGAAACAACGATGAGAGAGAATCATCGACCAGCTGCCTCCTGCACACCCCCTACTGGGGTTGTGCCCGCAACCCAACCAAGGTACATGCCCTTGACCGGAATCGAACTTGTGACCTTTCAGTCCGCAGGCCGATGCTCTATCCACTGAGCCAAACCGGTTTCGGCTGACTTTTCAAGTTTGAGCGAGCAAACCAGGAGCTGAGACTGAGACGCCACAGCACCAGGCCTGTGACCAGACGAGGATGACAGTCAATCCCAGCCGCTCTGGAAACGTGGCTCAAACCCTCGCTGTTGTCTAGTGATGCCCACACAGCTCTTTCCAACTCTTTGTTCTATTGCAACCTTATTCCCGACATACAGGAAGGATTATATGTATGTTAGTTGTCATTTTTTCCCCCCTAATATATTTTATTGATTTTTCATCGAGAGGAAAGGAGAGGGATAGAGAGCTAGAAACATCAATGAGAGAGAAATACTCATCAGCTGCCTCCTGCACACCCCCTACTGGGGATGTGCCCGCAACCAATGTAACATGCCCTTGACCGGAATCGAACCTGGGACCCTTCAGTCCGCAGGCCAACGCCATATCCACTGAACCAAACCAGTTTCCGCTGTGAGTTGTCATTTTTATTTGCCAAGTTCAAGAGGTTCCTATCTTGGTATGTTTACTTATGTAAAAATTGCGTTTGTACTGTGAATGACTTTTTTTTTTTTTTAAGTGCGAGTTTTAGATGGGATAAAACAGACAAAACGTGATTCCATGGTGCTGTGTGAGGGCCAAACTCTCCATTCTGCGTGCTCCTCAGCACTGTGCCAGTGGGTGCATGGTGCTGAGACGTGGGCTTGGATGTAAGCTCTGGGCTGGCCAACAAGCTTCTCCGTTATCTTCGGGCCGTAGTCAGAGCCAGGCGTGGGCTTCTGGACACAAGGTCGCAGCTCTGGCCGAGAGCTTGGCCCGCGGACAGAAACCCTTCCAGTGAAATCCATGGGTGTGGAGACATCCCCGCAGGGCCTTCTCCCTTCCCTTGGAGGACATGCGTCTGAGCTGCCAAACACCCACGTCACACGGCCACGGGCACGATTCCGGGTGCCCGTTAGGTCTGAAGGTGGGCAGCCCCAGACCTTGGCCAAGAGTCTGCCTTCAACCCTCCAGAACCTCAGAGGCCCACGTGACCCGCAGAAACATGGTCCCATGGTGCTGAAGTCCGTTTCCAGCTGCAAAAACAGGCACATCCCTTTTCCAAAGTGGAAATAATGTCTTTTATCGTCACATTCGCTTCCCTCTGCCACAGCAGCTCAGTCTGCACAGCAGGACCGTTGTCTTGAAGGATGACCGTTTCAAATACAGCGCATCCCTCTACGGAGAAAACAACTGTAATGGTTACAAGTCTCTAAAGGTTTCACTGAGATCATTGGCACAATGTATGAGCGGCCCGAGGGTGCAGGGGAAGAGACAGATGAAACGAGGCGTGGCTTGGTTCAGCAGTTCAACTGAACAAGCGTTTAAGGCCAAAACAGAGTCAAAAGAGAGAGTGCAGAAAGGGAGGGGAAAAGTCTTCGATTTTTCAGGGGGTGGGGGCCAGGACAAGGACATCAGATTGGGGGAGGGCTTGGGGGGGATGGAATCCCGCAGATGTCTACACAGGCAGGTGGTCCCTCGGCCTTCAGACTCGCCCGGGGCTCAGCACTCTGGAAGTCTGGCTGGCTTGCTCAGCAGCAGCTCGCTCTCTCAGGCAGACAGTCCACAGCCCAAGCCGAAGGAGCCTCTTCCTCTTCTCTCTGCCCAGCAAGTGGACTTCCTTATGGCAAGGGCTGATGGTTGGTAGGCCCTTTGCACACCTCGTGGGGCTGAGCAGAATGTCCATGACCTTAAGATGAGGAATTTGTGCGGGGGGTGGGGGTAGGGATGGGAGAGGAAGGGGTCAAGATGGAGGAAACGGAGAATGTCTTCTCAGGGAAGTGACCAGAGGTATACAGGCAGGCATGAGAACAGTTAGGGCAATCGATTAAGTATCCTTGTTCCTCTACAGACAATTGGAGAAAGCAGCTAGACGTTACCGAGGGATGTGAAGTACATTGGAAAGATGGGTATCTGGGTCCGCAATGAGACCAAGGTGGAGTGAACTGCTGAGGTACGGAGTGCAGTCTCCACATCACAACCCCCGACGGTGGAGACAGCAATTCCTTACTGTTGAGAGGCGGCTCTGCAGTTTGGCCTGGGTCACACACCAGCAGCAGGCGGGACCTCCGAGTAGAAAGTGACATCCTGAGGATGGACTCGGTGTGAATCTTATGGGCACAAATCGTCAACGAACAGAATTTCTTAGGTTGAGTTTATACAGAACACTAAGGAGGTACGTCGTGAGAAGTAACTGAGGCTGATTCCCAGCTATACAGAACCCCCCCCCCCCCCACTCTCTCTTTACTGTTTCATCTCCCTCCCCCTGGAGTAGGTGCATACTGGACACAAAGCAACCACATGCAAGACAGCTGAGCACACAAGAGCTTGGTAGAGGCGGGGTCAGGAATGCTGGAAGCTCAGGTCCATTCGTCTCCGTTTCTCTTGGCCTAAGATGCTCCGATTCCATCAGCACTGAAATATTAACAAGCATGTGTGTGAAACGAGCCATAAACCTCCTCCTTAGGCTCAGCCATGTGTGTGGGCGGGCAGGGTCCCCAGGCACAGTCCTCAGAGCCAAGAGTATTTTTTTGGGTGTGGGCAAATCTCACTGTAATTGTAAAAGCCTTCATTTACACACATCGAATAATGAAAACACACACACACACACACACACACACAAAAGACCCAGGAGAGCTGGGAATCTTACGTCTATCACATATAATAAAAGGCTAATATGCAAATCCACCAAATGGCAGATTGACCAGTAGCTATGTGCACACTGACCACCAGGGGGAGTGTCACTCAGCAGCTGGATGTCCCCCAAGGGCTCCTAGACTGCGAGACGGATAAGACAGGGCTGAGGGACCCCCTGCCCGCCCCCAGTGCATGAATTTCATGCACCAGGCTTCTAGTGAATATATAAAAGCCCCTTGAAATCCAGGTAGTCAAGATTTGCAGAAGGAGGGTGTCCCTATCCTCATTTTCCTGCAGATCATTCTACACTCACTTTGAAAGACGACTAGGCATTGTTGGAAGTTCCAAGCAGTAGGATGTGCCTTGCAGGGAGAGAAGGAACCATTTTATAGGATCAGGTAAGGACCCATCAGCCATGCCCCCTCACAAGGTGAGACAGACCTCCTGGGGCCAGGGCAGACCGCACAGGGAGGGGGCCCGGCGGGGATGGGAAGCCTGGAGACAGGGAGCTCAGGGTGCCATGCACTGCCTGGCACATCGGTTCACCCCGAACCTCAAACGCGGGTGCCCGGTACAGCCTGTGCCATGGCTGCTCTCTCACTGCCGGGGGCTGTCCGAGAGCCTCAGGTCAGCTCACAGACAAATCCAAACTGCCACTGAATGGATGCCATCCAGGCCCCTCAGGAAATCACTGTGTTTTTATAATATTATTTTTTTTAAAAATACATTTTATTGATTCTTTCACAGAGAGGAAGAGAGAGAGATAGTTAGAAACATCGATGAGAAAGAAACATCCATCAGCTGCCTCTTGCGCATCCCCTCCTGGGGATGTGCCCGCAACCAAGGTACGTGCCCTTGACCGGAATCGAACCTGGGACCCTTCGGTCTGCAGGCCGACGCTCTATCCACTGAGCCGCACCGGTTTCGGCAGGAAATCCCCGTTTTACTTAGACACCTGAACGGACTCCTTCCCTCCCTGGAGCCCTGATTCACCGTGAATAGCCCCACTCTCCCTAGGGTTTCTTCCACACACAGGAGCTGCTTCCGTATTGTTTCATTTTTATTTTATTCGGTTATTTTTGAAAGAGACAGAGGGAACAGAAAGGAAAAAAAAAAAAAATGTGAGGAATCCCCCAACGTGGGGGCTCAGGGTACAAAACCAGACCTCTCTGCCCCAGGGGCCACCCAGACCGCAGGGCGGCGTTTCAGCGCCCAGGGAAGTTCGCCCATCACAGCGCCGGAGCGAGAGCCTAGGTGTACAGCTAGAGGGTTTCTACCGAACGCTAAAAATGTAAGCCGAGACGTTTCAGGAACAAAGGGCTCTTAGAGCATCTCAGGAGAGAAAGGAGAGCGGACGCCGGGCGGGCGGGCTGCCTGCACAGCCCAGCTCGCTCCGCTCGGCGGCCTCAGGCGGACACGTAGGGGGGCGGCGGCTCCTTGGCGATGCCCGTCACCGTGGCATCGTCGTACGGGGGCAGCAGCACCTGCGGAGACAGAAGACGAGGGTCAGGGTGGGGAAGTGTGTGTACGTCCTCCTGAGCTTTGACTTCCGTGGAGCTTACTTTGAAAATAAATGTTATTGACGTTTTTTACAGAGAGGAAGGGAGAGGGATGGAGAGCTAGAAACATCGATGAGAGAGAATCATCCGCCAGCTGCCTCTTGCACACCCCCTACTGGGGATGTGCCCGCAATCAAGGTTCGTGCCCTTGGCCGGAATCGAACCCGGGACCCTTCTTTTAAAGGGTTTTTGTTTTGTTTTGTTTTCTGTTTTGATTTGGTTTGGAAGCTACTCTTTTATCTATTCTCCTTGAGTCGTATGTAGGAAAGTATATGTCTGGCCAATAATGTGCATTGTTTTATAGAAAGAAAAAAAAAGCACACTTATCATCTGCCAACCAGAGCCCCAGGATCTTCCCCGAGGTCACCCTGAGACGGTTTAATCGGGGAGAAACGCCACCTGGCCTAATATCTGACAGGAAGGGAAAGACACAACATGTTACTACGTCTGTGTAGACTCCCAAAAAAGACCTGGACAAAAGATAAGCATACAGTGATGTATGCAAGGATCTTAATATAGCTATGGGGACAGGGAAAATGACAGAACTCCATCATCCCACCCCCCTTAGGATCGCCGAGTGAGGCCCCAGTGTATTTATGTCAACTCCTAAATTTAGTTCTCGTTCAATCCATCTTTAAACACGAAGAGCCCTGCTTCAAAGAAGACATCTGGCCCTCGCTGGTCTGGCTCCCTGGATAGAGCGTCAGCCTGCGGACTGAAAGGCCACAGTCACAGGTTTGATTCCCAGTCAGGGCACATGCCTAGGATGCGGGCTCGATCCCCAGCAGGGGTGTGCAAGAGGCAGCCAATCAATGATTCTCTCTCTTCACTGATGTTTCTATCTCTCCCTCTCCTTTCCTCTCTAAAATCAACAAAATATATTAAAAAAGAAATCTGTTCTCCCTCCCTGCAACTCCAGATTGCGGCCACCAGCAAAAGGAAGCTGCCTCCTTGGAGAAATGGCTGATTGCAGGTCTGGGCAGGCAATGGGCCAGATGAGTGCAGAACACCTTGTCATACCGGACAGCATGTGGCTCCCACAGACGGTGTCAGAAGTTCCAGGCTCCAACCTGAAGAGGCCCCAAATGGCTAATCGTGGTACAATGTGAGCAACTACAGTGTACCCACTTTCAAGAGAAAGCTTTCATTTCCCCCCTTTTGAAAGTTTCAAGATAGGTATCAATAATAATGATTTAGGCTTACTGGTAAAACTTATCAAAACAGTTGTACTTCGCAGCTGGCTCTTATAACAATAGGCCTCTTTTTAGGAGTTTCTTTATTACTTAAAAACACACCTCCTGCCCAGTCCATGTGGCTCAGGGGCTGAATGTGTCAACCTATGATTCAGGAATTCATGGTTCGATTCCTGGTCAAGGCACATGCCTGGGTTACGGGGCCTGTCTCCAGTAGGGGGCATGCAGGAGGCAACCAATCAATGATTTTCTCATCATTAATGTTTCTCTCCTTCTCCCTTCCTCTCTGAAATCAATAAAAATATACATATATATTTAAAAAAGAAACGTTTTTTGGGGGGAAGGGGGTTTGAAAAACACACTTCACAAAAACAAACAAACAAAAAACCCTGCTCCTCACTGGTTACCACTAGAGAATAATGAACCAACTTATCATTTTGAAAACTGATAAAAAGAACAAAACTAAGTATATTTATCGATGGCACAAATGCAACTGGGTAGCCAATTAATACCGGAGGGAAAGTTACTCTCTATCAACATTCCCGCTAACAAATGAAAAAAGGAATGATAGAATGTCACAGTAATATAAGCCCTAAAGAATCAATGAAGCTAGGCATTAGGTAGCAATGGTTGCTGACATCCTAAAAAGACAGAATCAACCAGATACCATATGCCTCCTGGTGGAGGAACAAATAATCAACTGTGAAGTAATCTTGGGAAAAACAGTGGAAATAAGAATAGGGAATGCCTCTAGATTCTAACTTACTGAAAAATCAAAGGACTACAACCAGAAAAAAAACTAGTCTGCAGGACAAACCAATTTCTTTAACAAAAAATTACAGAGACCTAAAATACATACAGGGGTGGGCAAAAGTAGGTTGACGGTTCTTTGCGTGGGAAGTTACTACAATAATTAGTAAATAACTATATGAGAAAAATAAATAAATTAAATTAAATTAAAAAACTATACGAGAATCAACTTTCACAGACTCACAGCTGTGGATCTACTTTTGCCAACCTCCCTGTACTGAGCCATAGAGTCTGTTTCAGAGAAACGGCTAGAAAAAAATATCACATGTGTGAGACAATTGGGAATCTGGGCACTTACTGGATATTTAATGATGTTAAGAAATCACTTCGTATAAAAATTATTTTATATATCAGTATGCTTAAAAAATAATACTAATAACCACAATACCATTTTGTGTTTTTGAAACATTTTAAAATACTGTCAGAGAGCTGAGACTGCAGGTGGTGACCTATCCCTATATTTTGTTGTTTGTTTTTTTAAAATTTTTTTATTCTATTGATATTTTACAGAGAGGAGGAAGGGAGAGAGAGAGAGAGAGAGCTAGAAACGTCGATGAGAGATAAACATCAACCAGCTGCCTCTTGCACACCCCCTACTGGGGATGTGCCCGCAACCAATGTACATGCCCTTGACCGGAATCGAACCTGGGACCCTTCAGTCCGCAGACCGATACTCTACCCACTGAGCCAAACAGGTTTAGGCTATCGCTATATTTTGGAATAAAGGATCAATGCGACGGAGTTATGAGAAATGATAAACCTCCCTTTTCCCAGGAATACCATTCTAAAAAAAAAAACAAAAAAAAAAAACCTCACTGAGAACGCTGACAAAGTAGTCACATTATCAGCAGCAACGCGGTTTCCTGAAAAAGGACAGGCTGATACAGAACGACCGGGGAGATAATGACCAACACCCGCCCTCCAGCAATCCCCAGCTTCTCACGCCAGCACTCCGGGAGCACCCGGGGCCGGCCAGGCCCACAGCCCCATCCTCCTCACTCCACACCAGCACCGGAAGCCGTTTCGAGGGAAGAGTCTATTATTAGAAGGGCTGGGTGTCCTGCTGAAAAGCCAAGGACTCTGAGTGGATGTGAGCCTGCAGGAAGCTGAACTGTTACTCCACATCTCATTCTGGACCTTCCACATGGAGAGAAACACGTTTCCTCTAAAAGCTCTTTGGAGGTGTTCACCGGGCACCTACCGTGCTGTCGTTGCTGGTCACGTACACCAGCACGTCGGAGTTGTTCCTGCCGTTGATGTAGCGGTAGCAGTTCCACACGCAGCTGATCAGGTAACCCTGAGAGGGGTGGCGATTATTCAGTCGTTAGTTCTCAAACTCCAGACAACGTCCGATATCACCGCAGGTAGAGCCGCTCCACAAACCCTTTACTTACATCAGTTTACAAATGCATCCGTTGACTCTTCTAGACCAAAAGGGCTTTAAAATCACAAATACTGGGTACACACACTTTCTGGCATAGAGTGCTACGCTAGCCTTATTCTATCACACCACCCCGGTCGGAGGGGGAAGCAGAGTGGGGCTGAGGGCAGAATAAGAAATTCAAAGAAAAGACAGTAGCCATCGCCAAACACATTGATTGCTCCCAAATTCCCTGTCAGCATCCACGCACTCAACACTCCAATGGAAACCTCTGGTCTAACTCTCTCTAAAAACACAATAACTACACGTCAGTGACTTTGTTTCTTATTTGACATTTCTGTAACCGGGAAGAGAATTTAGTGGATTTCCCAAATAAACTTGCACTGACCAATTCTGTCCATCCTCTACTGGCAGAGCTCAGGAGGGAAAGCATTGCTCCCTCTACTGTCCTAGGAGCAAGTGGAACTGTCGTGTGATGGTGCCGACTCCCAGGGAACTGGAGCGGTGGCAAACCTTATGGATGAGTGACAGAGAAACGTGGGTCAGGATGCCGCTCATTGGGTACACTCCTATGTGAGACCACGTAGGAGCCCCTTTAGTAAGTGGTCACTGAATGAATGAAGGAACAATGGATCTAGCCATGCGTCCGTCCCCTCTCTGAAACCTCACAGTCCCCTACCGATAGTTTGCCTAACTACTACCACCGCTATTTGGTAAGGAAAGACACCAAGGCCATGGGCACCGTTGGAAACAGCAGTGATAGAAGGTAAGTCTAGGTGCTCTGACCCACAATCTCAAGTAAGCATTTTCAATATAAATGAAAACGCCTACAAAATGAAAATGCTTTCTTTTAAGAGCATTACCAGCCTCTGAGCTTCTGGAAATGGCAGAGAGCAGCTGGTCAGATGAACCTTCTTGCAGGTAAAACTGATAAAGCCAGCCACAGACAGACAGACAGACAGACAGACACACACACACACACACACACACACACACACAATGTGAAAGCAAGTGGAAAAGCGCCAATCGCAGGCAGAAGCGAAGGGGACTCTACTCTCCAAGACAAAGTGCAGTGAGTGGGATCGAAGAGTCCGGGGCCCCGCCATGTCTACCTGCAGCCTGGGGGGTCGGGGCGGCCAAGGACAGGAGTTGGGGTTGACAGAGCAGCCAGGGAGTTGGGGGAGTGGAGGGGAGGAGCTGCAGAAGCAGTAAGCCTCAACATGTGTGCGTAAAATCCACCCAAATCCTGGACTACGACATGACACATGTAACATCCAAATTCTCCGTGTTATAAGGGGAAGTGTAGACCCAAATGATTTTCAACGAATCCTTATCTTTGAATGAGCCACTTCATCCTATGACCTACTCAAAATGCTTTTCTCCCGAAGTGCAGCTTCCTCAGACTTGATTTTTTTTTTTTTTTTTTAAGAATTGGGTAATTTTTATGCCAAAATAAAGACTGTGAATGGTATGAAGAATTAAAAGTTCAAAGTCCAACAATAAGCTGAGAATTTTCTACACATTAGCAGCACACAGGAATAGATTACAGCGATGTGTCTGCTCTCGGGTTTACAAGATGAGAAAGAATGCGGGAACACTGCTGACTGGAGCGCTGTCCCTCAGCCTCCGGGAGGTCAGTTTGGCAGCCTATCAAAGGCTTTCGAATCCTGCATTCCCTCTAATGTTACGAAACGTATCTTGAGAAACGCCTCACTATACAAAAGATGTGTCTAAATGCATTCCTTGTAGCAATACTAATAACTGAAAAAAGGAGCAACTGTCTCAATGCCCAACAATAAGTAATTTATTAAATAAGTTGATAGAATAGACTATTAAACAATGCTGCTCAGAATACATTGCATTTTCAAAAACAAGTTAAGAACTCTGCCATAAATGCTGCAGCATAGAATATATACCACACCATGCATGACAGCACGTTCATTTTTCCTCATCCTAACGGATTTGGGAGTAACCCTGGATGGAACGGGCCTCTGTTCGCTGGGCGAGGGTTTATGTCGTGCGGAGAAGAGAAGGAACCGAAGGTCCGGCAATCCAGAAGCAGTCCCGATAGCGAAGCAAGAGAATGAGTTTACGTGTGTGTGCTTCTGCGGCACTCATGGGTACGTTTAATAAGAGGCAAGGAATAAATGTCTTTATTCTTACCTTGAAAGCCAAGACGATGCCGATAAACAGAAGGACAATGAGGACCAAACAGGTGGAGTTCACGGACAGGGCATCCTCTTTGTAGGGAAAATCAGGGGGCTGCAGAAGGAAAGGGCCTCATTAGCTGCTCGCATTCATCACTCGGGACCACATTCCCGAGGCTTTAATCACACGTGCTTCTCCGAAAACAGAGGGCAGGGAGCTGTTCAAGACCCCCGGGATGTCCAGCCTACTTCTCCGGACGAAAAGCTACAAGCGGCGTGGTAAGGAGAGGCCGGCCCGCTCATAACGCAGGCGATAACTCTTGAACCATCAGAGGAAGGCTCCTGGGAGACCTGAACACGCCTGTGCCTCCTGCTACGGGAAAAGCTGAACGGCAGTAGCTTACACACCTGACACTTGGATTGCCCGCAAATACCGGACCGTTCCAAATCCAGAGCTTGTGCAGGGCAAAGGGGAGAAACCTGTTAAAATTAATCTCCTTGCCCTGTGGTTTACGGTTCAGTGGGTGAATGTCATGAACCAAGAGGTCATGGTTCATGCCCGGAATGTGGGCTCGATCCCCAGGAGGGGGTGTGCAGGGGGCAGGCGATCAATGATTCTCTCTCATCGTTGATGTTTCTCTCTCTCTCTCTCTCTCCTGCCTTCCTGTATGAAATCAATAAAAATATGTATTTTTAAAGTTACAATCCTGACTTAAAAAAATCAACACAAACAAACACCCCACTAATTAACGTGCGTGCCCGCCCATCTGAGTTCCCGTGTCCGCTCCTTAACCAGGTCCCTCGGGAAGAGACGCAGGCACCTACCAGCTGCCGGATGTACTCCTGGATGGAGCTGGGGTAGACCAGCACGGTGATGGCCACCAGGGCGCTCAGGGCGAAGTCGAAGATCTGGTAACAGAAGAAGGGGACGATCCAGGCCGCCCGGCGCTGTGGGGAGCAGAAAACAGGTGCTCACGCCCATCCCGTTCGGAACGACCCACCGTGCTTTCCTCCAATCCGGAGATTTTCTTCCTTCGTCAGAAGGGAAATGAACAGCAATCCATCCAGCCAGGCCACGACGGCAACCGGTAAGCCAGATGGGAGCCAACGAGCAAACCCAGCGAACATTTCTGAGACTCTCTTGGTTTTCCTAGCGCTAGATCCATAAGAACGAGAGATTTAGGCTCTCCGAGATCCTCTCAGAGCCGAAACCGGTGTGGCTCAATGGAAAGAGCATCGGCCTGCAGACTGAAAGGTCCCGGGTTCGATTCCGGTCAAGGGCATGTACCTTGGTTGCGGGCACATCCCCAGTAGGGGGTATGCAAGAGGCAGCTGATGGATGGTTCTCTCTCATTGATGTTTCGAACTCTCTATCCCTCTCTCTTCTTCTGTAAAAAAATCAGTAGAATATATTAAAAAAAGAAAGTTAAAAAGATCCTCTCAGAAAACGGAGAGTGCTGGCCTCGGACTCCTCACGAACAGCTGTCCAGATCACACAAGCAAGGGATGGCGGGAAGGACCCCCTTCTTTTTTTATTTTTATTTTTTTTAAACCAGGAAAATAATCAAACTTCTAATCCATGCTCATGGGGAGGAACTGAGGCAATACGGGGTGCGTTATGACATATTTTGGTCCAACAAGGGGGAGGATGGGGTATGAGACTTCCGAAGGGAGGGTGAGTGGCTTACAGGTGGCTGAGGAAGAGCGGAACACACCTGGCAAGAAATTCCGGTTAGGCCGCTGGGGAACAATGGGGCACCGGGCCCACAGGCCCCTGCCCGAAACCTGCCTTTTACAGACTTGGTTTCCACGGGGCCAAGGCGACCCTGCCAGGCTCCCCACCCGGAGGGGGGGGTGTGCCTGAGCCTCCGAGGGCCCAGCTTACCTTGTACGCTCCGTACGTAGCCATGGCGCAGATCAGGATCATGAGGAGAGAGATTGCGACAGCAATGCACATGTCTGCCAAAGGTTAAAAAAAAAAAGAGAGAGAGAAAAAAAGTTTTTAGTAGCTCCATTGTTTAAGCATTTCTTTAAGTCTCTCCTCAAAGGCACTCTGTTTACACACCAACCACACGCGAGGACACGTCATACTAAGAAAAGCAGCAGCGGTCCTTTGGGATTTGAGGAGGTGAGACTTGTTAAGGAAAAGTGTGGCTCCAAAGGTGTCCTCCCTAGGTCACAGAAATGCCTGGGGATAGATTAGAAATAGAAACCAGAGACGGATTTACATATAAAGTTTATTTCCAAGTTGGGAAAGGGATATTGGTTGGGGATAGATCTAAAAAGTTGGACGCCTGGTCCGCTGAATTACACGATAGTTGTTGTTTTTTTTAATACGTCGGTGTCTAACTTGTATTTTATACACTCATGTGTGTGTCATGCCCCTATTAAAACCCGACACTGGCTTCCCATCTCATCCTCTCAATAAAAGAGAAACATGCAAATTGGCCATACCTCCGCTACACCCACAAGCCACACCCACCTGCCCATCAGGGTGGGTATGCAAATGAACCCAAGAAAGATGGCGGTTAATTTGTATATCTATGCCAGAACGAAGACTAAAGACAGAGTAAGAAAGAAGCCAAGCACTGCAGAAGGGAGCGAAGCTGCAGAGAAGCAAGCAAGCAAGCAAGCTGGGCACTGGAGAAGGGAAGCAGGCGGGGCGGCAGAGACCACACAGGAAGCCCTACTGCAGGAATCTTCCTGCACGGGGCCTCTAGTCTAGCATAAAATCTCAGTTTCTTATCCTGGCCTTCCTGTCTCTGCTGATTCTACAGCAGGCCTACCCCCGGCCACTTTGGCTCAGTGGTCAGTGTCTCAGCCTTTGGACCAAAAGATTGTGGCTTCGATTCCGGTCAAGGGCAGGAACCTCGGACTGCAGGCTCGATCCCCAGGCCCAGTCTCTCTCCCATCAATGTTTCCTCCAGTCTCTACCCTGCCCTTCCACTCTCTCTAAAACCCGTTGGAAAAAAATATCCTCAAGTGAGGATCCACAAAACAAGCAACGAACACTAAAGCAGGCCTACTCCTCCAGTGTCGGCAGACCTCATCCCACTTCCTTGAATCCAGCCACACCACTGGGTTCATTCAACACAGCAAGGTCATCCATCCCCCTGGCTAGAAGAAACATCACTCCTATTCCCACATGCCTGGCTCTGCCTTTTGTTATTGTTGTTGTTTTTTTAAAATATATTTTATTGATTTTTTACAGAGAGGAAGAGAGAGGGATAGAGAGTTAGAAACATCGATGAGAGAGAATCACCAACCAACTGCCTCTTGCACACCCCCTAGTGAGGATATGCCCACAACCAAGGTACATGCCCTTGACCGGAATCGAACCTGGGACTCTTCAGTCCGCAGGCCTACGCTCTATCCACTGAGCCAAACCGGTTTCCGCTGGCTCTGCCTTTCGAACCAGGCAGGACTTGGCTCGATGGCAGCCCCACCAGGGCCCTCCCACAGACATCACTGCTGCGTGTTCTATCACTGCGATCGGGCCCGCATCTGTGGTGTACTGTCCGTCTCCCTCTGCTAGGGGACCCTCGGGAGGGAAAAGGCTTTCCACACCTTGTTCACAACCACAACCTCAACGCTGGGAAGGGGACAGATGGCCAGTACGGCAGCCTCTAGCCACCTGTGGACACAGGGCGTTCGGAATGAGGCCAATCTGAACTGAGATGTGCCGTAAGATTAAAACATATTCCGGATTCCAAGGAGTCAAGAGAGGAAGGGAGGGAGGGAGGATATAAAATATCTCCTTAATAATTTTTATACTGATCACAGGCAGCAGAGTCTGTTCAGTGTGGCAGTTTCTGAGCCGTCTCACGGACATCTCATCTCTGTCAGCCGTCCTCACTCCCAGGCGTGTTCCTGTTCCCACAGAGCAGATTATGAAACTGGGGCTCAGGGGTTATGTAACTTGTTGAGAGCATTTGCACAAAAAGCCGAAGGATGACTAATGCTGCTCTTATGATTCCAGTCTCTGGCTCTTTCTACTGTACATGCTGCTTCCATCTAGCCTCTGCACAGTGACCTGGAACCAGCCAGGCTGCTTCCTTCCCACAGGTTATTTCTCCGAAGGAAAGGATTCCCATCGTGGAGCCATCCTCCCTTTAGCCACAGCATCTGAAACAGGAGGTTTATGAACAGAGGCACGGGGTGCAAGGACATACTAGGACAGAAATGTGACATGTCAACAACGACCACCTGCCATCTTAAAAATAAATAAATAAATAAATAAATAAATAAATAAATAAATGAAGGTTCCTCAATTTGTTCTAGAGATTTAATGCAGTAAATTTATAACAACACTAATGATTTTTAAAAAATATTTTTTATTGGCCAAAAACTGGTTTGGCTCAGTGGATAGAGCATCGGCCTCTGGACTAAAGGTCCCGGGTTCGATTCCGGTCAAGGGCATGTACCTTGGTTGCAGGCACATCCCCGGTAGGGGGTGTGCAAGAGGCAGCTGATCGATGATTCTCTCTCATCCATGTTTCTAACTCTCTATCCCTCTTTCTTTCTCTCTGTAAAAAATCAGTAAAATATATTAAAAATATATATGTATATTTTTATTGATTTCAGAGAGGGAGACAGAAACATCAAGGATGAGAGAGTATCACTGACTGGCTGCCTCCTGCACGCCCCTTACCGGGGATCAAGCCGCAAGCCCTGCTTGTGCCCTGACCAGGAATCCAACCATGGCCTCCCGGTTCATAGGTCAGCGCTCAACCACTGAGCCACACTGGCTGGGCGCTAGTGATTTTTATTAGAGTGAAAATCCGATTCTCAAGAAAGAAAAAGAAATAAGAGGTTTTGATAGCTCGGACTAGTACCTAAAAGATCATGATTCCTTTAGGAATACAGACATATTTGTAGTTTATAATTTCAATGCTAAATTAATTTACCTTTTCCCTCTAGTGAGGAAAGGAGTACCGACAGGGGAATTTCACGAATGCCTCCGAGCATTCTTGCAGAGCCAGGGGAGGGATTAAATGTGAATGCACTTAAATGCCTTAAATGCCAAGGCAGAGTCTCCAGTTACACACCCCCATTCCAGTGCTGCCGCTTGCCTGTGAAGCAATGAGCATGTCACGCTCATTTTTGTTTTTTTCTTCCTGCATAAAGCGCTGAGCTTAGTGGAATGTACTGTGTTGTCTTCTTCCTCTTTCCTTTCTCCTCAGTGAACGAGGCACTGTTATCTCATTTACTCCTTATGGCACCCTTCAGGGTAGATACAATTATTACAGCTTCATTTTAGAGGGGAAAAAAGATAACTTGCCCAAGGCTGCCCAGCTAGGAAGCGGTGGATATGTTATAGAAAGAGTCGGGCATCAATAAGCAATTACTGTGTGCAAAAGCCTATCCAAATGTGCCGCAATCTCTGAAACTTAAACTCAGGCACAAGTTCTTCTCTTCTTTGTCTACTTTCATGGTTTCCAAATTCCGTGCAGTCATATTTTATAAGGAAAAAGATAATTAATTTTATGGAGGTCGGCCTATCATGGGATAGTCTTTGACAACCTCAGAGGTCTTGAAAGACTTAGATAAACAAGCAAGCAAAGTCAAGGCATAATTCCAAAAATAAGACAATGAATCACCTTTGTTAGTATAAAATATTAATATGGCAAAAATAATCATCTTTAAGAACTGCGTATCCTATTTGGGAGGGAGGGGGAGTCACTCCCAAATTAAATCTCATAAAATCATGCAAAGATTTAAAATTTCCACCTTGCCCTAACTAGTTTGGCTCAGTGGATAGAGCCTTGGCCTGCGGACTGAGGGGTCCCAGGTTTGGTTCCGGTCAAGGGTATGTACCTTGGTTAAGGGCATGTACCCACTGGGGGGGGGGGGTGTGTGTGTGCAAGAGGCAGCTATTTCTAACTCTATCCCTGTCTTCCTCTCTGTTAAAAAAAAAAAAAAAATTCAATAAAAAATATTTTTTAAAATAAATAAAATGTCCACCTTATTCAAAGAATACAAAATCAGAAATGTTAAAAGGTGCAAATGAAATGACTCATAACCTAAAGTACCCTACGGACAAAGCTCCCTTGCCCTCGTCAGTGCAGTTCAGCCAGTGAGGGGCCCGGAGAGCGCGCAGAGAGCAGGGGCCAGGCCACCACCTGCGGTCAGCTTGCCCGGGGCCAGCTCTGCCCCTGCTGAACCTGAAGCCCGGAGGAATGGCTGGCTCTCTGTTTACAGTCAACAAATACTCCCCGTCTCTAAAACTCCCCTTACTCTGCCCAGCAACACTTCCCCCCCAACTGCGTTGCTCAAAGCCAATGAGAAATACATCTGTCTGACCTTCTGTCTGGGATTAGGCACAGGCAGGACATGGCGTGACTGTGATTATAAAATATTCAGATGTCTGTGGCCTCAGAGCTGGGTGCCTGGCTCATGTTTCTATTTATCAGAAAAAGGCCCCAAACCCACACAAATAACTACCAACGTGGTTTCCAGATGGAGAATGATCACAAGAAAGGAAAATACTAAGACGACAGAAGACACAATAAGACCTGCATTAGCCTTTTAACCTTCCATCCGGCTGTGTATCTTTATCCCCCCTCCTCCCGCAAAGACCAAAGGCCAGGGTAAAAAGATGATGACAAAGCAATTGATTTTTTAAAATTTTTTAAAAATTTATTTCAGAGAGGAAGGAAGAGGGGGAGAGAGAGAAACATCAGTGATGAGAGAGAATCATGGATCAGCTGCCCCTGCACAACCCCTACTGAGGTTGGAGCCTGCAGCCCTGGGCATGTGCCCTTGACCGGAATCGAACCCGGGACCCCTTTCAGTCCACAGGCTAACACTCTATCCACTGAGCCACACCGGCCAGGGTGAGCAACTGCGTTTTAAAAGGGGCAAGTACGTAAGATGAAAACAGGGAAAAAAGAGTCCTTATTTAGACTCCTACACTGAGAACCCGCAGGGAAGTGCACAAATACTCACCAGGTTTGATTTGTAACGACGGGACGTTCAAAAGGGCCCCCAAATCAATACCTGTAACTTCACAGGAAGAACTGGAAGCCGGATTCCCCGCCCTTGAAAATACCAAACTATCTACACTTTCCCCTGACGGTACTCACTGGCATCGTCCATGAAGTCCAGGTCGCCCAGCTCCGGACTTGAGAAGTGCTGGCTGGGGTAGGCCAGGGAGCTCAGCAGAATCAGCAGCACCACGGCATTGATGACCTGCGCGCGGTCAGAAAAACACACACACACACGTAAGTGACACTCCCTGCATACAGTGTCCCCGTCCCCCCCCCCCCCGCCCCCACCCCAACCACCGACAAGTTCATGGACACACGGAATGTAACCTCAATAGAGACCCCATGTGCCCCGATGGAAGCTGGGCTTCACCTCACTGCCCGCTCGGCCACGTCCATGCTCCTGAGCGAGTGTTTGCAAGTGATGAGACTTTTTCACCAGCTCAGGCAGTCGTTTTTTTTTTTTTTTTTTTAATATATTTTATTGATTTTTTTTTTTTACTGAGAGGAAGGGAGAGAGATAGAGAGCTAGAAACATCGATGAGACAGAAACATCGATCAGCTGCCCCCTGCACACCCCCCACTGAAGATGTGCCCACAACCAACATACATGCCCTTGACCGGAATCGAACCTGGGACCCTTCAGTCCGCAGGCCGCCGCTCTATCCAGACGGGTTTCGGCGAGCTCAGGCCGAGTTGTGAGATGTGGGAAAGTGTCAGAAAGGGGTGCCAGGTGAGCGGCAGAGCCAGGATCGTTGATCCTGCAGCGCGGCACACGAGCCCTCTGTCCCAGGCCCATGCTTGTCTCCCTTGGGCACTTCAAGCTCAGCTCATCTGAGAGGAAATCACCTTCCTGGAGGTCTCCCACCTCTGTGCTTAGTTTGTTCTCTACCTTAAAAAATAGCATCAGCCGAAACCGGTTTGGCTCAGTGGATAGGGTCGGTCGGCTTGTGGACTGAGGAGTCCCGGGTTCGATTCCGGTCAAGGGCATGTACCTGAGCTGGGGTTGAGTGGGCACATCCCCAGTAGGAGGTGTGCAGGAGGCAGCTGGTCGATGTCTCTCTCTCATCGATGTTTCTAACTCTCTATCCCTCTCCCTTCCTCTCTGTAAAAAAATGAATAAAATATATACATATATTTTTTAAAAAAATAGCATCACTACCGATTCCACGTGGAAAACACAGGCACTGTGCCAGGTGCTTTATGGGGATCTTGTCTCTCAAGTTCTGCAACAGCCTAAGGAAGCAGGTGCTATGTTATCCCGTTTTACAGATGAGAGAACTGAGGCTCGGGGTTAAGAACATTGCCCATGGCCCTCGCCCAGGGGTCAGCAAACTTCGGCTCACAAGCCACGTGCGGCTCTTTGGCCCCTCGAGTGTGGCTCTTCCACAACACGTGCGGGCGCGCACGTACAGCGATCGAAACTTCGTGGCCCCCGCGCAGAAGTCGGTTTTCGGCTCTCAAAAGAGATTTTTGTTGACTAGTGAGTTTGCCAGCCACTGCCCTAGCCGGTTTGGCTCAGTGGTTATAGAGTGTTGGCCCCCCAGACTGAAAGGTCTCGGGTTCAATTCCGGTCAAGGGCTCGTACCTGGGTTGCAGGCTCAATTCCTGGCGCTGGTTGGGGCAAATTCAAGAGGCAACCAATCAAAGTGTGTCTCTCACACCGACGTTCATTTCTCCCCAGCCCTTCGGCTCTCTCTAAACTCCAATGGGAAAATTATCCTCAGGTGAAGATGAACAAAAAATGAAAAAGAAGAAGAAAGAAAAGAACATTGCCCAAGATCAGGCAGCAAACGAATGTATGAAATGGGATAGGAACCCAGGAATTTCAATTCCCAAACCTAAACGCTTACAGTCTCCGGCCGTGTTTGAAACGTGACTACCCTCTGGGTTTACCACCTTCCTCCTGCCCGCCACCCACCCACCCACCGCGGAACCATGGCCCTCCACCGTCTGCCTGTCCGTTTCCTCCGTTCTCACGCTCCGGAGGTCAGCTGAGGCATGGGCTGGGCGGGCCGTTATTTCTCCTTTTCCCTGGGTTTAGAAACTTGTGATCGAGCGCTGTTTCGCTCTTGCCAAAAGGAAAAGATGAATGATCTTCAAACAGAAAGAAAATTTTTTTTTTTTTTTTTTTTACAGAGAGGAAGGGAGAGAGATAGAGAGCTAGAAACATCGATGAGAGAGAAACATCAACCAGCTGCCTCTTGCACACTCCCTACCGGGGATGTGCCCGCAACCAAGGTACATGCCCTCGACTGGAATCGAACCTGGGACTTTTCAGTCCGCAGACCAACGCTCTACCACTGAACCAAACCGGCTTCGGCAAGAAAATTCTTTTACTAACTACAGAATTACCCACCACGGAAGTCCTATTGAGAACCACGTATTTACAGAAGCGGTTCGAACGGGTCATTTGTTTTACAAAACGTCCATCCGCTGGGACCCATGTTTCAGTTGCGATCCGAAACGGTCAGCATCACGGTAGGGTTTAGAATTATTCTGTTTTCTTCCTCTACCTTCCAGATTGATCTGCTGTCTGAAAAATGCCATTACAAAAACGAGAATAGCAATGCCCAGAGGTATACATGTATCACTAACTTCAATGGACACTACAAGCATGTGGCTAACGGTGTTTGGAGGCGTAAAAGGGTGCAAGGTGAGACACACGCTCCCTCCCATCCCTCTCCCACAAGCACCCTTCCACAGTGCTGATCAGAGCTCCAAGCTTCCCGTTTCATGGCAAAGACCCCCAAAAACTTGACAGCACATTGGAAATACACTGTGATCAGCAAAACTCTAGCTCAATAAAACTTCCCAGAATATATCCGAGGCTCGATGGGAGGGACGGGCTAGCCCCACAACTGGCATGTGACTCGCGGGGAAGATGCTGAACGGTCACATCTTCTCGGCAGCTTCCTCCCTTTACACTCTTATCTCTGGAAGGCAGTCCGGAGATTACGGGCTGAAATAAGATCAGATGAAACCACCTAAAACGTGTCTGTTCCTATCACAACGAGGTCAGCTTTTCAGCTGCGAAGGAGTTGAGGGGGTAGGAGAGGGAGGGTGAGAGAAGGAAAAGGGAGGAGGGGGGAAGGTGTGTCCGGTCTCAGAAGGCCCAGGCGTGGGCACCCACGGGGCTGGGGGTGGAGATGGACTGTGTAACACGTGTAACAGGACACCGTGGAGAACACGGAAGGGGTGGAAGAGAGAGGGTGAGAGAAGGAAAAGGGAGGAGGGGGGAAGGTGTGTCCGGCCTCAGAAGGCCCAGGCGTGGGCACCCACGGGGCTGGGGGTGGAGATGGACTGTGTATCACGTGTAACAGGACACAGTGGAGAACACGGAAGGGGTGGAAGAGAGAGGGTGAGAGAAGGAAAAGGGAGGAGGGGGGAAGGTGTGTCTGGTCTCAGAAGGCCCAGGCGTGGGCACCCACGGGGCTGGGGGTGGAGATGGACTGTGTAACACGTGTAGCAGGACACCGTGGAGAACACGGAGGAAGACTGTGATCGGATGGGCCTCCACATGCAGAATTTAGGGTGAAAAGCCTTGGCGAGGGTGACTGGCATGTAACAGCCCCTCCAATGAGTTCGCTTATCTCCTTCCACGCCTGGCTATGTCCCGGCTGCTCCAGTAATGATCACTGGCTGCTGTGGTCGGCAAACTGCGGCTCAAGAACCACATGCGGCTCTTTGGCCCCTGAAGTGTGGCTTTTCCACAAAATACCTCGTACGGGCCGTGCACGTACGGTGTGACTGAAACCTCGTGGCCCATGCGCAGGAGTCGGTTTTCGGCCTGGGTGAGTCTCCTTGGAAGTGGCGTGAGAACACTCAAGGGGCCAAAGAGCCGCACGTGGCTCGTGAGCCACGGTTTGCCGACCACGGTGCTAGCCCAACGGCCCTTCTCTCTGTGCTCACAAGCCATAGATCACGGTTCAGGTCCACGTCCCCTTCTGGGCACCCTTGTTCATGAGACAATTAGGAGAAAGAATAAATGAAATTAAGACATGATGGCCCTAGCTGGGTTAGCTCAGTGGATAGAGCACCAACCTGCAGACTGAAGGGTCCCGGGTTCGATTCCAGTCAAGGGCACATGCTGGGGTTGTGGGCTCACTCCCCCGGTAAGGGGCGTGCAGGAGGCAGCCGATCCATGATTCTTTCTCATCATTGATGTTCCTCTCCTCTCCTCTCCTCTCCTCTCTTCTTTCTCTCTCTCCTCTCTCTCTCTCTCTCTCTCTCTCTGTCTCTTCCTCCCTCCCTCTCTGAAATCAATAAAAATATATTGATTAAAAAAAATTAAGATGTAATGGTAAGGTCATTACATGGCACAAATGACTCACCACTGTGCTCTTTTAATCACAGAGTATTTCATAAGAGAAGATGCATGTTGACACATATTTACCATATAATTATGCAACACCCCAACTGCTGGGTGGAATCTGGCCACCATGGGCGATGTGCATGCAGCAGGGTGGCCGGCCCGGTGACCCAGGAGGACCTAGGTCTGTGAAGGAAGCGGGCAGGGGCAGGACCAGCCGTGGAAACCACCGAGCGCGGTCAGATGGAAAAGGCCAGCGACAAACGCAAACCCCGTGAACACGGGGGTCAGGGCGCTTCCCGAAAGAGAGAAAATGAACATTACCCAATCGTCAGCTCTGACCGAGAAGGAAAGGTCACCACAAATGAGAACCAAGAAGATGGGAAGACCCGCCCGCTGCAGATTATGTAACGGCCACAGCTAATCTCCATGGAAGAGCGAGAGCAGGCATATTTATCTTCTCGTTCGGTTAGTTCGCTTGGTCTTGCTCCGTCCGTTTCGGTGGGCTGTGTACAAACTGTTCCTGCTGTGTACAACTTGTTCCCGGGTGTCGCTTTTTTTTGTCCTTGACAATGATTACTTCCATATGTAACTCCATTCAGCGTCCTCCCAATTACGTGGCGGCATTTATTCAGTCCCTCGTTTACTCTCCAGGAACCCAAAGGGCACTTCACTCCTGTCGTAGCAGAGCCTAGGTGGTCAGGGAGACCTCCAGGGTGAACCTACACCGCCGAAACTGCAAAATGCAATTACCCCCTTTCCGAAGCCTCCAGAAAAGGAACGTAAGGACAAACACTCAAACCCGCTGACAGAGTAATGACACAATAACCAGAAATTGGCACAGAAAATTGTGTCCGAAAAGTGATTTCGGCAGACTTCTCTATTATGAAAAC